TTTACTGAAGATTAAACAGGTCAAATATACTTCCATCACATATTTATGTTTACTCACTATCAACTAAAGGAACCAGACTGGCCTCAGGGCGCCCCCTGTCCACTTCACTAAAATGTTACTTGTGGTGTACAGATAAGAAGGGACTTTCTGCAAGTAAAATTTTTCGGTTAAAAAAAATCTTCACACGGCGCTGCTGGCAGCATGACATGTGATATAATTCATCTTTGCTTCTTTTAGAAAAACAGCAAAGGTAATTTTAGACCATTGTTTTCCGATAATTATACAGGCCGTGTTAGTGCTGCAGTTAGTGAAGTGATTTTTTGATGCAGAGCCTCAACATTAAAGGGACATTTCGAAACGGTGTTGCAGTGAGACCTGAATTATCTTCAACTTTACATGTAAATTTTTCACCTTGTCCTGTTTACATTCAAATGACTAAGTCATTATCAGGCCAGCTCTCTAAATGGACTGTTCTTAACTATGAATGAGTATTTACATTTCTTTTTCCCCCGGCTCATTATTCTTGGAGTGACCTCCGGGGGCCAAGGATAAGCCTCACTCACTAACAGAGTCCAGTCAAGGAGGTGTCACTTCTTCAGAGCAGAGCTGCTGTGTTTTTTTCCATAGTATGTATAATTAATGAAGCATTATTAACGATTGGAGCTGTGCAGCGTTCGAGGTAATGATTCTGCTGTCGGTAATTAAAGTACTGATAGGCCCCTTTATTATGATTAGTATGTGTAACTTAACGATCCGGTATTGTTTTAATACTTTTTCTCCAGTCTATTATTCCTTGGAGTTTTTAATTGATGCCTTGACATTTGCCTCACAGTTCCTTCTCTTTGATGCACACAGAGAATAGAAGAACACTAATTTCCTCGTATGCGTGCGGACCACGTGACCTGATGTGGACGTATAATATAATAAAAAAATGTTTTGGTCTCATCCTGCGACGTCCGTCGAATACTGATGGATGTATATGTGGGAGAGAACTGCATTCCAGCACCGTAGAGGCATCGCTGGCTTTACATTCCTCTAAACCTACAGAACAGCTCCCAGCTTATTAAATAAGACTGACATTTTTCGCAGTTGGCAAGCAAAAAAAAAACAACTCCATCCAGGAACAATCCTATTGTATTCTATTCTATGAAAACATCAAACATCAGCAGCGTGCAAACAAACAAACAAACAACATCCGCCAGACGGTCGTATGCGTCAGATGTGAGAGATTATGACAAAAACTTCAAACTGACGACACCCTCATTTATTTTGTACCGCTTGCGAGAAATTCACTTTGTTGTTCCCGAGAGGCGAAGAAGAAGACAAACAATTTTAGAACCCAAATTGGACCAGAAATAGGTGTTTACTGTCAGTCATTCCTCGAGTAACTAATTATTGCAGCTGTACTATTTTGGAAGGTCTTATTATTACAATTATTATTTTCCTAAACATTTCTCAACTCGGAGACAGGACGAAGCGTCTCTGAGAGAGTTTATTTTTTTCTTCATCTGGCTGATAAAACTCCACGCTCAGACAGCACAAAGTAAAGTCTAATAAAAGCACCTCTGTTTCAGGAAAATGAAAAAAAAAAATAAAAAAAAAATCCTATCAACTAGGACGCTCGTTCTTGGTATAAGCCGACAGGATATTACTTTTTTATTGCTAATTTTGAGTCCAAACACACAACGTGTGTTTTCACATCGGCGAGTTGGCCCGGGCCCTGCGTTGGCAGAGAGGGAGTCATGAATACAAAACGTAATTAATAAAATATTAACAGTGCATAATGTTTTTGGTTTTTTTTTTCTTTCGCCTCTTTGTAAAAAAGTTGTGAGAAAACATTGCTCGTGAACTGAGAGAATCACTTTAAAGTCTCGGCTTCACTCATCAAGACTCGGTGTTCTCATAATCCCACTGTGATTAGGGAACAACAGGATGTTGCGTTTCTGTAAATCTCGGATGCAGCGAAAGGCAAAGGACAAAACAAACAAATTGACTCTGTGCTCCCGAAGACAAAAGACCCCCGGAGTTGTATTTTTTTCCGAGACATGTTTGCGTGGCACCAAACCGTGAGATAACCACGTCTTCAGAGAGAGTTTTATGTGGAGCAAATCGATTGCGGGGCTAATCAAAGTCATTTTTAACGTCTTAGATAATTTTGTTATGCATTCGAGGCGACGTTTCACTTCGCCGCATTTGCGTTTTTCCCATCATGACTCATGTAAACGAATGATGTCCCCTGCCATTTTAGCAAAAAACATGACACTAATGTTTGTTGTTTTTTAAACTGACTTGCTCTTTTCTATTTCCTCTCCTTCTCCTTCTTCACCCTCTGTCGCTCTTCCTTTTTTTTTTTCAAAAAAGGCCGCCGGTTTTGCTGGTGAGTTCCCGGTGAGTTAAAGGCTAGGCCAGGTGGTGCGCAGCCATGACTGTCAATTAGAGAGGTGACCGTGTGAGAGCAGCGCGGGATAACTCCTAATTAACGATGCACCTTCGAGGCATAGCAATTAGCCTTTCCTTCAAATAAAACCCACAGAAAGAATGCTGTCATGCCCACTAACGAAATCATTTTCCCCTCACACAGCTGCCGACAACACCCTGCTGCACACAGGCTCGGCGGCGGAGGAAAACAAAGAGGAAAAGTATCAGTAATCCCGCGCAAAGCCACGTAGTGTGAGCGTCAGGGTCGAGCGTACACATTGTACGGAGGCTATTTCAGTCGGGGATGAAGGCACTTTTCCCTGACAAGGTCACGGACACTGCCGGCCTGTCAACACACAGTCAGTGACGACAATCAAAAACACAGAGGAGGATTTAGATCGAGGCACCGAGCTCGATCTCCCACCTTTTAAGCATTTGTTGCCGGCTAACGTCGAGGGCAGTGAGGTGACAATTTGTGGAGACGGGAAAATGACAAAACACAAGGACGACACCCCTGTCCATCAGAACGCAGGAGTGGAAGGGGAAACAGGGACGTAGTGATGGGGAGACAATGCGGCTGACACCTTCTGCACACAACAGCGCCGGTTTTGCATAATGTATTCCCTCCACTCATCCAACGACACCTGCCAGTAGACACCGTCAAATACGCAGTTGCCAACAAAAGCCACGTCGTTACTAGTCACTGACTGCACTTGGAAAAGACCATGACCGCCGCAATCACGTGGGTGAAATCTGCGTTTCAATTGTCTTTCGTTAATCATAGTCTTTCAGAAGTTCATATGCATAAACAGAGAAAAAAAAAAACACTTTTCACTCAAAAGAAAGACCAGGGTTTGAAAAGTAAAGCTATGCTCACATAAAAAAAAAAAATGTGACCAATTCTATGCCTTTGCCCAAAGCACTGCAAGTCCACTGGAGACGAAAAAAAAAAAAAAAAAAGAAAAGAAAAAAAGAGTGCTGCTGAGGTGTTTCTTGGATTAAAGCCAGGACTGCTAAGTGGAAAGAGAGGGCAAATCAAAAAGCAGGAGAGAAGTCCGAGGGGAATACTGTGCAGAGAGAAGGCAGCGGGTGAACAACCCATGAGGCCATGACAAAAGACCCTGACTATTAGTGAAACACACAGGCAGGAGGAGCAGGACTGAACTGGAAAAAAAAGAAGCTGGGAGTCTGCGGCGGCTGGTCAAAGACCCTGTTGCAAAGCAATGCACTTAAAGGGAATCCTCTGTCTGGAGTCTGAACACCAGCGCTGGATAACAGATTACGAAGAAGCCGGTACCGATTTATCCGAATAGAGGCCGGCTATGTGTCTCAGAAAAGGAAAAACTGAAGAAGGGACCTAGGAAAACACAGATAGCCTGAAAGTAAGAGCTGAAGTTAGCAATAACTTTGAATGAAAAGTGGCTATGTTGAAGTTTGCACCTGTAGGCGCATTAAAGCAGTGGTTTGTTTGTGACATCATTCTGACATCACAGATTCCTTGCGACCCCAAGACATTGGAAATACAGAGTAGCCAGATTGGTTTTTTTTTTAAATCAATTACTCGACATTTCATGTGACCCCCATGTAGGGTCGCGACCCTGAGTTTGAAAAACACATGCATAAAAGCACATTGAAGGCATGCATATTCCTCGCAAAAACAGCTCCTCCACACGAGGCAGCGTAACAAATGGCAGTTGCCCGCCATACAGTGCCATTTGGCGCTCCAACTGCTTGACTTCATAATAAATGCCACCCTGCCGCCCCATCGCCATCCTCCTCTCTAAATACCACAGAGAGATCCCAAGGTCACGCTATCCAATCAGATCCGAGACTTCAGGCGGACCCGAGCTGAGCTAATGTATTCCACTTGCCTGTAATTTATAATGGCGAGGAGAGGTCTCATCGGTAAATTGGCCGGCGTTCTGCAGACGCCCTCGATATTAACAAAGGTGACACCGAGCATGCAACTTCCACAGCTGATGTTCCCACGGAAAATGTAAACCAATAAACTTTGCTGGGCAACAAAAATCAATCACAAAGAATGCATTCGAAAAAAAAAAAAAAAAACTTGAAAATTCCTCTCTCTTTTCACCATGGCTGCCTCCTGTTCAACTGTTGCTCAGGCTCCAGCTGGAGGTGCACATACAGCCGTGGATGATATGGAGTTTTTTTTTTCTTTTTTCTGAAGTGTGAGAGTTCTCTCACAGCCTCCTAGTGGGGAAAAAAATCCCTAAGGTAAGAAATGAAAAGCAGACCTCAAAGAAAAGCAGCAGCTTTTTTTTCCCCACATGCCACCAACAGTTGCAGCCTGGAGATGGACTGGAAGCACAGAAGGAAAAAAAAGAGACACGTGTTCTACGTTCTTACCTTGAAGCAGGTAAAAAAAAAAGAAAGTGTAGTGTTGCTGTAAATCAGCAGGTGTTTTGCAGCTGATTTTCTCTGATCCGGTTCAAGCAGGAGAAAGTTGCAGCGCAACACCTGCAGGAGCATCACCGACAGACTTTGTGCAGAGATCACAGCCGTAATTGGGAAACGCATGTGTCGCGGCAAGACGTAAGTCGGGTGTTTTGGTACAAACTCACTTTAAGTCGAGCCCCCCGCCCCCGGCATACGAGCGAAGACGTCCGGTTATGTCCGCAGGTCGCGGCGGCGGAGGAGAATGCAGCTGCCGCACGGTGGAGAAGAGGCGAAGAACGAGCCAAGTCACCGCTTCAAGGTCCAATATGATGTGGAAAGAAGCTTCAAAACTGGCAAGCTCACACCGAGAGGTTTTGAGGGAGAGAGAAAGTGTGTGTGAGAGAGAGACTTAGGCACATACAGAGAAAGAGGGAGAGAGAGAGAGGGGAGGGGGGTTCACTCTCTACTAGTCTTCTGGAAGCAGCGCATCCGTGCTTTTCCCTCGAAGGTATGGATGAGACTAGTCAGAGTGGTGCATGCATTTGCACACACACACCGAGCACACACAGAGTTTTTGTGTTTTGAGAGCACTTCACAAGACAATTGGTGCTCAACGCCTGGGGCAGGGACCAGCTGCGGACAGTGTATCGCTTGGTGCCGGTCATAAAAAAAGAATGTTCTTTAACCTTAGTTTCCATGGTTATTTATTTGGAATGAAAATCACTTCCCTTCCTCTCCTCCTTTCAGCACTTGACTTTTATATAATATTAATATTAAATATTATTAAAATCAAATGTTGCTGCTGAGGTTTTGGAAATCTGCAGTACAAAAAAATGTCAAATATTGCACTACCGCTGTGCATTGACGTGGTCGAAGGTGTGCGCAGGCTTGCAGACCCCACAAGTACAGCTAAACCAGGACCAGAACACACATGCTGGTTTTTGTGTTTCGTAAGCACTCGACATAGGCATAATGCATTCCCTAGCCTCGGGGTCTGCAAGCTTCAATGCCAATCGGAACATTTTTAAAATTGAACCGCTAAATAAAAATTTGCAGAGAGCTCACAAAACATTTCAATGGAAGAGTTTCAAGCACTGCTGTATCGTTCAAATTCAAATCTAACAACGAGGTACAAAAGCAGAAGGACAGCGTTGGTTTGACCTCTTAAGCTACGAGTCAGCAATTTTTACATATTTAAAACTTTGCAGTCATGGGCTGAGTTATAGCCTCGGAGGCTACCTGTTAAGACCAACGTTAGCCTGTTTTCTGAACGCACACAACAAGGAATTGAGTCGATTATCATGAAAGCCAACAGTAAATGTAAAACATAAACGTTTTTTCCTTAACAACAAAGAGAACGTGGAGTGTGTTAACGGACATCCATCACCTCGGACCAGGGCCCTGGACCCCTCAGGCCTCACTGTTTGCATGCAGATAAGCTTATCGTCTGATAGAACACTCTCCTCCATGTTTGAAAATCGCATGCTCTCTTAGGTTCAACAGATGGGTGGGCACTTGCCTGGATGGGGGACTTGACAGGCCAGCTGAATGTGAAGGCTGTTGGAAGTGTGTGTGTGTGTGTGTTTGCCTGTATTTGAAAAGGTTGGCCGGCTACTGGGAACAGGAGTGAGAGGAACGGGAGGAGGCGCAGATAAAACCAGGAGCCGGACAATAAAAGGCGAGGTGCAACGGCTCAGGGCAACGGCACAGTAAACAAGAATATTTCCTTTTCCTGTTTGTGCAAACAACAAACGAGAGAAATTCTAATTATTACAGTGACTGATCGTAATTCCCAATAATAAAAGTCGGGCTTAAATTACGATTTGACGGCTAGCTGACTTTGCTGAAGACATAAATAATAATAATAATAATAATAATTTTAAAAATAATATTAAAGTTAGTAGATATAATGGGAAAAAAGAACCGACGGCTCACCAACAATTCTGAAATTAGGTATGCAGAAGATCGCACCGTTTTAATTACTTTTCTTGGTTTGTAGCTTTAGCATCTGAAGCTCTGGGACTAAGAAAAAAAACAAAAACAAAAAAACTAGTTTGAAAGGTTTCTGTGAGTCACCTTCCAGTGAAGGTTGCTTTGGTCTTACTTTTCTTTATTATATTTATTCTTTGCTTTACTGGATCATCACATCCTCTGACAGATGCCTTATTTTCCAGTGATGTGCCTCTGTCCTAGGCCATGAAATTTTAATGTGGGGGAGGAGGAGGACAGAAGGGAGGGAGGGAGGGAGGGAAGTGTCAGCACGTACGTATGGCAAAAGAAGACATGATTGGATTTGTTCTGTCAGTGGCACCATGAAGTCCCCGAACAGACAGATCAATAGTATCAAGAATTAACAATTCTCTCCAAATGCTAGCCTGGAGATGTTCAATTAACAGCAAATTGGAAAGGCTTTTGTGCTCTCAAGGTTGTCTGAATAATGTGCCTCGGAATAAGTTCAACGTTATTGTGACAAATTAAAAACAAAGTTGGCTTTGGAGAAACAAACAGCAGCTCATTCTACTTCACAACAAAGTTTGGATGATTGGACCCAAATAACCTTCAAAGTGTGGAAATATTTTAAAAAAAGGAATATATATAATATATACAATATATTGATATTTGCAGAAGAATAAGTTTTCCAGCAGGTTTTTTTTTACTTTGCACAAAAAAAGACTCAAAACAGGAAATGAAGAATTATTAGTCTTAGTGCCATTGAAGGACTGATGTCTTTCCACACACCGTGCAGAATTCACTTTGACTTATACACAAAAAAAATGTCTCGGAATTTTACAGTATTTTTATAATAAATTAATATATATATTCTTTGGTCCCCATCAGTCAGCTCCCACACTGATGCCAGTCAGAAACCCAGGTATTTTGCAGCGTTACAATTGTGTGTAGGAGGTGAATGGAGCACCTATTATAAAAACATTAATTTTGTCAGAGCAGAGAGAATCTGGGCTTGGGTCAGTTACAGATTAAAACATTCTTAAATAATAATAATTAAAAAAAAAAAATGCTAACGTGTGAAGGTACAAGGTGAAAAACCGGAACACATTTTCTCGCACAGCGAAATTCACGCTGAGCTTCAGCTGCGCCTCCTAACTGCCAAACAGCAATGTCTCCCAGCAGGAGGCGTACAGCCCTGTGGCAATATCCTTCCCACCATCGCCAAGGTCACCTGGCCAACCATGCTATCTCATCTCAAGAACCCAATAGGATTAGTATGTTTGGCGGGCTGCTCTCAGGTGAGCACGCTCCTTTACATCAGAAACTTTACACCGACGAGCCGTTGACTTTGGGAGCCTTTCATTATTCAGTGGATGAAATGATCTCAATTTGGTTTTGTCCTCCTGCATACCAAATCATATTTATGGAACTGTGAGTTTGCATGATTTTGTTTTGGATTTCCACCAAGGACGGGTCTTTCACCTCCGCCCACTCGCTCTCTCCTCCATCACATCTCTACTGTAGGTTCACTTCCAACTGTCAGTTTGCTTTTTTCTCTCAGTGCTCAGAAGCCGCTTTGCTACTCATGCCCAGCAGCCGGGCTGGGGGGGGGGGGGGGGGGGGGGGGAATTGGCACACTCTGCTATATACTAAA